TCTTAGCCATATCTCTCTCTACTATTGTGTAACTGGCATTTTTCTAAAGAATGTTTTTTTTAAAATGTGGCATTTTAAAATAAAACTGGCAGCAATATTCTTCACAGTTGCATTTTATGATTAATTAATTTGAAATTACTGATATCTTCAAGTGATTCTTATTGGTAGACCACTATATATATATTTTTAAATAAATACTTGGTATTTTATTGATTACTTTAAATTCTTTCAAAATGCTTTCATCTGTTACTTTATTTGTACATATAACAGTCATCTTAGGAAACCGAGGCCCAAAGAGATTAAGTGTTATGTTCCAAATTTTTCTGTTAGCAGAGCCATTTTAAAACTCAGACCTTTAAAAAACATTTTTTAAAATGCATGCACATGGCAAAAATTGAAATTGAACAAAAAGATTATACCATTTTCTTCCCACTCCTATTCCTTGGTGTCTTTCCCTAAGCGACCAGTTTCTTATTTATTCTTCTGGAAATATTCTGTAAATATATAACCAAAAAGCTTGTATATATCATCATCTCCTTTCTCCTTTAAACACACACATACACAAATAGTAGCAAATAATACATGACCCGCTTCTTTAACTTAACAATATGTCTTGGTTTGTTGCACGTAAACTGAGGCTACTGCTCTTGGCGTTGTACCACCTTTTACAACACTAATCTCTAAAAGTGACACACTATTCTGCCATTGTCTCTATTTTATTTTAGAGTCCCTTGTCTCCCTTTGTAGTTTTTAATAGCAATTCTGTGGCACTGTTCCAAGTGAAAAGGCCTGCCTATATACTTAACTTTTGGTGGTTTGTTTTGAATGCTTTATTTATTCTCTTGACTTTAATGGACCTTTTTCTGTACTTTGATTCAAACCAGGTATGATTTGTTACAGCAAATTTGAGTCTGGAATACACAGACATGTATAATTATGTTTTTATAAATGAACATGTGATCATTGATTTGTTAAAGTTTAGTTGGCATTGTTATCAAAGTTAATGTATAACAGTTTAAAGAACTAAACAGTTCAATAAGGCTTATTATTAAGAAAAACAGCATTGCCTTGGGAATCGCCCTCTGCCCTCCAACCCCTGCCTCATTTCCCATTTTTAACTTTTGTGGCAGTTTTATTTTTGTATTTATTTCCATATTTCTAAATAACGTGCTTGTAATCATAGTTTTTTAGGATTATTTTCTCCCCACCATAGAAAATGAAGATTTAACTTTTTCATGTCCCTTTATGACTTCTATCACCCCTCATCCACTTATGTACTCCCTATCTCCCATCCTTTCAATATAGTTCTACCAATTTTGGTTAGATCAGTATTCATTGTTTACATTATTTTAACCACATAGGTGCTATTCCTATCTTTTTTTTTCTTTTCTTGTATATCTTTTTGTTTTCCTTGGTGTTAATAATTGTATTTTTCTGTTTTGTTTGCTTAGTTTCTATAGACCATTATATTTTTAATTGAGGAAATGCTCTTTCTATAGGTTTTGAGTTACCTGGTAAACTCACAGCAAACTTGCTAAACGGCGTAGACACTCAATTCAAATTTTTTTAATATTGAAAAGTGTAACTATTCCAGCTCAAATATTTTCAAGGTACTGTCTTTTTGCTTCCTTCAGAGTACTATAAGACAAAACCTGTCAAATAAATTGTCTCTATGATTCTTTTGAACATTTTGCCAAAATCAGATGCTGCAAAACCTAGGCTTTCTCAATTTCACTTCACTCGTGCAAGTGTATAATTTATTCAAAATAGGAGCACCACCAAAAGATTCTTCCTGCAAGGTGAGATATTCCAGATCATAATTACAGAATGGCAAAATTTAATCCCGTGTAGTATTTGAGTTCTTATGATTTATTTTGTTCAGTTCCTTCCTTGCTTTTGGAGGGAAAAATTTCAAGGGAAGCTTTGTTTTCATTAACTGTAATTCCCTAAAAGCTTCATTTGCTGCTCCATTTGTTTAACACTTGATTTTAGATTTCCAACTGATTTTGAACAAAATGTCACCAAAGTTTTGATGACCCATTTATAGCAAAGTTCAATACCATTGTTGGGTATAAAGATTTCAAAAATTTGATTGATGACAGGCAACAAAGAGAGAAGGCACATACTGCGGTGCTAAAGTATATTTTTATACTCAGCATCAGGTATACCCCCCAAATCTTGTAGTTCAGAGATTCTGACTATAAAGATATTTGTAAATTTTTATGACAATAGCTTCTATTTCAATTAGTAGAATGTTGATGCTTGTTTGGATGCAATTATGAATTATGGGTATGCCACAACCAATACCAACTACTCATAGGTTTCTCAATGTAGTGAGAACATTGTTTTTACCATAACACTGTGTGTGCTTCACCAAAATTTGTAGTTGTATTACTATTATAAACTAATAATTTTATCTTCCATGTTGAACTTTTAAACTGAATTTCCAATCTCACTCACAATGGTTTTACCTCTGACAGAATATACTTCCAACAGTTTTACCTTGATTTCATGAATGGACAGAAAAAATAAAACATTTTTAGAATTAACTAAAACAATTTCATCACTTAAAGTACCTGATGACACTCAACTAAAACTGGAATTATTTAACTGTTTGCAAAGTTCTTCTGCTGATGGAGCCAACAAACATAAAGCCATTGCTTCCCTTTTCCTATGTGCACATAAAAACCTGTAGTTGAGAACGAGTGAAATTAATTTAGAAGAATATTCATTTACCTAAATAAAAGTTAGGCTTCACAGACTGGTATGCATATATACCTTCTGCAACTGCATGTGTTAAATCATCATGTTCAGGAAGTCTCCTTAAAGTAACCACTAACTTTGAAAGTAGATCCTGACACTTTTTCAGCAGGTTTGACTCTTCTTGTTTTCACGTGGTCAGTGATACCGCTATGGCCTCCACAGTGGATAGGAAACGCCAACAAATATTTTGTGCAAGTTACACATTCCTTATCAACTTTCTTGAGAAACAAAAATTCAGTACTTTTTAGAAATGAAATATATACTCTAATTATTTTGAGCCTACTGCTGCCAAAAGGGTTTATTGCAAAAACAAAGTGTTGCCAAATAATAAAATAGTTATAAGTTTACATCATACAGGCAAGCGTGCTCAGTCTATTCTCTACTCCCTCTACACAGAACTTATCAGCCTTGATTTCTCTTACATATTTCATAGACACGAAACCTCTAACTTACACTGTTTCCCACTGAGATCTTGGACTGGTACCTGGTGGCTTTGTGACTCTTGAAGGCCATGCACAGGCCATAGTACAATTGGGTGATACACCAAGTGGCCAGTGGGGGCAGCAGTGTCAAATACTTCTGCCACCAGAGAGAGGAAGGAGTTAACTGTCCCTAGACATTCAGGGCACTTCCTGGTATCAGCAATTGCCCTGCATTCTGTTCTTGATTGGGAGGTGTCTGAAAGGGTTGGGAAAAGAGATGAGTTATTGCCGGTTGTTTTTCAGACACAATAACACCTTAACGTGAGAACTCTTTCCACTGTACATGGATCTCACATACTATTAGCCTACACTAGACAAAAACTGAGGCAGAGGCTGGAAGTATAAAGTGGAGATCTCCGAAACCCATCCTGGTTTATTCTAATGTAATTATTAGTCACCATTCTGTGTTAAAAAATGAAAAATTCAGGACAAATGCTAAGTCAGATACAGGATTCTGGGAGAGCAGACTTACACTGAGACAGTCCTTAGCAAACCACAACGTACACTCACTTGACCTTCAGGAGAAGGAGATCTGCCCTTCTCTGCCTCCCCGCTTCCTTCCTATTGACTGGAGTGAGAACATGATGGCAACTATATTGGGCCGTAAAGCGGTAAGACAGGGATGGCAGAGCAGTAAGACAGGAGGAGCCTGGGTTCCTGACTTGGTAGAATCACCATGCCAATCTTGGACTGCCTAGTCCCAGATGTTTCTACATGAGAAAAAATAAACTCTTATCTTGTTTAGGCCACTGTTATTTTATAGCCAAACCTAATTCTAACCAATATATAAGAGATACCTCTACAGTCTTTCTAGAAAGCAGCTTGGCAATACGTATCAAGAATACTAAAAATGTCTAAACCCTTTGAACCACTTTCAGGTATTTATCTTTTTTTTTTTAATTAATTAATTAATTTTTCCCCCAAAGTCCCAGTAGATAATTGTATGTCATAGTTGCACATCCTTCTAGTTGCTGTATGTGGGACGCGGCCTCAGCATGGCCGGAGAAGCGGTGCGTCGGTGCGCACCCGGGATCTGAACCAGGGCTGCCAGCATCGGAGTGCGAGCACTTAACTGCTAAGCCACGGGGCCGGCCCATCAGGTATTTATCTTAAAGAAATAATCTGGAATGAGGAAAAGTGATGTGTAAAGATGTTTACTGTAGATTTATTTATGACAGTAAAAACTTAGAAGCAACCTAAATTCCCAAAATGAGGAATTTGTTAAATAAATGATATTTCATTTAAATAATTTAATATTATGCAACCATTAAAAAGTTTATGAAAAGTGTTAATAACACGGGAAAATGCCCACATCATACTATGAAGTGGGAAAAAACAGGTAGAATTAAAAAAAAGCCTTATACATGCAAGTTCTCACCTATGTTACAAAAAAAATTCACATATATAAAGGTAGGAATAAACAAAAAAAAAGACTGAAAGGAAATACATCAAAATATTAACTAACAGTGATTATCTCTGGGTAGTGAAATAATAGGTAATATTTATTTATATTAAATATTCAACAGTATCCTATCATTAATAAATCATTTCATCTATAACCAGAAAAAAAAAGAAATTAATTTGAAAACTCTTAGCATTTACCAGTTTTACCTGGTGTTGACACTGCCATCATCATGAAAATTTTACTGAGCATCCACATGTGGGAGTTGGGTGCACAGACCTCTGTGGCTCCAGCAGTCAACCAAGAGCCACCTAAAGGTCATCCAGACATAAGCAAACTCTGCTCAGTTTTACCTTGGTGTTCTGTAGTAGAGCTAGTCCATTGCAGGCATTTGCTAGAAGAAAGTCTCCACTCAGGATAGCTATTTTATTTCCAAATTGCATGTCTTTCAGTGGCCCATCAGAAGACTGCAATTCATTTAAATTTACTATCCCACGATGCACAAGGAGAGCAGTATGGATAAGTTCTGTGATCTCTGCCAAACTTCTTTGACTAAAACATAAAGGAAAGACTTGTCTGAGTATCAAAAATACCATCTTATCACTAATATCAGACTTCAGTTTTCAACAATAAAATATTTCAATGATTAAGTCTATTTTTTTATTTTTCCTTTTTTATGAAGTTTTTAATAGAAGCCTCTCCACTGAGTAGTTTGGGATCTATAAGCAGATCTTGACACCTTCTTTCTCTATAAGATTCCTCACTCCCTACCCAACAAGTAACCAGGATTCCCCAGAGAGAAGGTGGCCAGTGGAGGGTCACCCTCCACAATTCCATTTAAATACTTTGTTCTCAGTATACCTTTCCCACCTCCATAACTTTAGGATTTCTCAGAATCTGTACAAGTATCTAATAGAACTCCAATTTAAGTGGGAACATAACCTGTGTCAGACATTAACCTATTTTTTTTTTTTTTTGTGAGGAGATCAGCCCTGAGCTAACATCTGCCAATCCTCCTCTTTTTTTGCTGAGGAAGACGGCCCTGGGCTAACATCTGTGCCCATCTTCCTCCACTTTATATGGGAGCCGCCACAGCATGGCTTGCCAAGCGTGCGTCGGTGCGCGCCCGGGATCCGAACCAGCGAACCCCGGGCCGCCGCAGCGGAGCGCGCGCACTTAACCGCTTGCGCCACCGGGCCGGCCCCAAGCTAAGTATTTTTATACATTATCTCTTTTAATCCTAAATGCAAAGCTATAGGCTTTACAGAGATGAATAAAATGTGGTCTCTTCCTTCAAGGACCTTACCTTTCAGAAGAAGAACAAAGATATATACCTTCAGTAGTAAATAAGATAGAGAAGGCCCTTGAGGAGCTTACAGTATAATACTGTATCAGATGGGATTTCAGGAGATGTTTCTTTTTTTTATATTTTTCTATAGTTTGTACATTTTCTACAACAATGAAAGTATTACTTTTATAATAGTAAAATCAGTAATTACTAAACAGTTTAAACCTTGTAACCACCCTATGATAGGTATTACTAACCACTTTTTATAGGTGAGAAAATTGTTGCACACAGTTGAATGACTTGCCCAAAGGCACACAGTGATGTAGAGCTGGAAATCTGTTAGAATCTGTTTTAAATGGCCCCATGTGAATCACACCTCTTGGTTTCCATGCTCTTGTGTAGTTCCCTCCACACTAACTCTGGGCTTGGCCATGTGACTTACTTTGGTCAAAAAGACATTAGCAAATGTGACACAAGCAAAACCTAACAAGTGCTTATGCATTAAGGCTTGTCCAATGCAGTCACGTGAGTGACCCCAGGCAGAACAACTATCCAGTCAATCCACAGAATGGTAAGAAATAAAATGGTTGTTTCAAGTCACTAAATTTTTGGGTAGTTTGCCATGCAGCAATAGATATCTGATACAGAAACTGGTATATCTAGGAGTGGGGTTCTGCTCACAAAAGCCTCAAATAGGCATTACTGGCCTTGAGCCTGAATGGTGCGGGCTAGAGGTAAAGGCTGAAGAAATGGCAAACTCTTAGTAAAAGCTAGAAAGGCAGTGAGGAAATTGTCATTGGAGGATTGAGAAAGGACATACTGTTTTTTAAGGTAGTGAGACAACTGGCGAAACTGTTGCCTATGGTAACTTGAAAGACAGAAAATATATCTAACAACCTTATGGATCTAGATAAGGAGATTTCCTGGCAGAACACTGAAAATATCAGCTGGATTCTTTTAGCTGCGTATGATAAGGTACAGGAAAGAGATGAGCTAAAGAGATAGTTGTTAATTTGGAAGCACAATTTAGAGGAACAATAAAGGATCAAAGACTTGCTAGGTTGAAAATAAAACTGTTTCACATTTCCAGTCTCTCCAGGAAAAGATCCTCAAAGTAAGAAATGGTATTAGAACAAAGATCAAATAAAAAGTGTGGCTATAAGAACTTGTGTAAAGACCTAAAATATTTAAAGTGATGCCTAGTAGACCCCTTAGGTAGACAAAAGGTCTTTTAAGAATTTTAAGGGTATTGTCCCACAGCAGCCTCACACTAACCTAGAGAGGTCTGTCTCAAAAAGAATTATGGGGGCCGGCTTGGTGGCGTAGTGGTTAAGTTCGCGCACTCTGCTTCGGCGGCCCAGGGTTCGCGGGTTCAGATCCCGGGCGTGGACCTACATACCACTCATCAAGTCATGCTGTGGAGGCATCCCATATACAAAATAGAGGAAGATTGGCAACACATGTTAGCTCAGGGCCAATTTTCCTCACAAAAAAAAGAATTATGGATGTGGTTTTTAGGGCATAGAATAAACTCTAATGAGACTCATAGAAATCCCAAAAAGTTTCTAAGGGAGTTGTATGAGCTTCAACTAAAAGTGACAGAGACAGTTCAAAATGAAAAAAAAAAAGGAGCTTCTGAACCAACTTTTTAGAGATAAGAAATCAGGCTGAGACAGGCTATTCAGCTACAAGTATGAATCATTTCTTACTGAAAAGGGAAAATAGCTCAGAGGCCAGAGGATTATGGAGAACAGTGGATTAGGGAACCACTCCCAGGAAACAGAACTGGGCCCTAATCAAGAAATATTCCTTGCTTCTAGAGTAGGAGGTCCTGATAATACGTGCCCAGATAGATTTTAGAATTACTATGGGCCAGTGAATGCTATGTGCCTCCCATTCCTCCCTCTTTTTAATGGAAGTGACTATTGTAGTTATTTTGTTCCTGTCTCACCATTGTACGTTGGATGTGTAGTGGTGGTGGGGTTGGGGTAGATAATTTGTACTTTTAATTCCCAGGTCCCTGGATTAAGAGGGGCTGCAACCCTGGAGCCACATTCACATCTGGACCTAACATAAGTTATGAGATCATGGACCTTGAGCTTGATGCCATGAAAGAGATGAGACTTTGGGGTCTTAGGAGGTGGTTAGTATATTTTGCCTAAGGAAGGAATGTGAATCATTGGGACCAGAGGGTAGACTATGGCAGATTGTTACACTAATGGCCACCAATGAATCACACCTCCTGATATCCATGTCACACGTAGTCTCCTCCTTGATTGACTCTGAGCTTGATTATGTGACTTGTTTTGGCCAACGGGACACCAGCAAATGGGGACAAACAAGCTTGGAAAGTGCTTTTGCTTTCCAAAACACCTTCCAAGGCTCACCCATTTGGAATGCTGCCCTGAGATAACATGTGAAGAAACCTAGTCTATCCTCCTTGAGAATGAAAGACAACATGGAGAGAGGTCCAGCTCTCCTAGCCATACTCAGCCCCTGGTTAACCTACCAGGTAAATGCAGCCACATAAATAAACCCAGGAAAAATCCCAGCAGGGGAACAGTCCAGCCAACCCACAAAACTATGAGAAACAAAATATTGCTGCTTTAAGCCACCAAATTTGGGGGCAGATTGTTATGCAACAATAGATAACTGATAGAGACTTCAAAACCCAATCTATTTCTACTATACTAGGCTGCCTCCTAAATATGCCATTTGAAAGATTTTTAAAAGTTTCTCTGAAGAAGGTAAATTTGAATTGGGCCTTGAAAGATAAGTAGGATTTTCATAGCTGGAGAGAAAGGGCAGAGACAATAGTAGAGATTAGGAGCCCCAGAATAAGAAGAACAGGACTTAAGACTTGGCAAAGGCAAGAGTAGAAAATGTGACCAGAGGGTGAGAAGGTCAGTTTGGCCAGAGTGTAGGGTCTGTGTGGATAAGTGAGAAATAAGAATCTGGAGCCAGGTTATGGCAGGTTAAAGGGTCTGTATTTTATTACAAAGGCAATGTTTTTGAGAAGGGAGGATGATATGCTTTTAAAATGATTTGGGAAGAATATTCTGAAGGTGATATGTGGAAAAATCTGAAAAAGTAGGTAGTAAAAGTAGAGAGATCACTGGAAAACGCTATTACAAAGGTCCAAGGGAAATGTAACAAAAGAGCTTGACCTAAAGGTCAAATTTAAGCATTTAATTTAGAACAACAGCCTTAGACATGGAGACAAATAAATATAAAATCATCAAATAATAAATATAAGAGACTCTTCTCTCAAAAACCTATGGTACTAGTTTTTTTTGTGAGGAAGATCAGCCCTGAGCTAACATCCGTGCTAATCCTCCTCTTTTTGCTGAGGAAGACCGGCTCTGAGCTAACATCCATTGCCAATCCTCCTCCTTTTTTTTTCCCCAAAGCCCCCCAGTAGACAGTTGTATGTCACAGTTACACATCCTTCTAGTTGCTGTATGTGGGACAGGGCCTCAGCACGGCCAGAGAGGATCTGAACCTAGGCCGCCAGTAGTGGAGTGCGTGCACTTAACCCCCAAGCCACGGGGCCGGCCCCTATGGTACTAGTTTAACAACTATAAAACAATAATCATATAAAGATAGAATTAAATAAAGAAGCCAAACAACTTGGCATCTACAAAAAAAAATCACGTTTTTAATTTCCTTTCTTGAAAATAAAAGAATATGTAAAAATAACCCAGTGGACATGTTATATTTGATTACAAATTGCGGGAGGAGAAGATGAACCAGTGAGTTAAACAGCTTCTAAGAAAACAGTAAACTCAGGTTTTAGATTAAAACCTTATTACATCCCAGAGAAAATCACCAAGGATGGAGGCTTATAAGACTACTGAGAAGTAAACAGAAAACATTAAAAAAAAAAAAATGGCGCTTACATTTAAAATTATCTTTTAAAAAAGTGACTAAAAGAAAGGAATAAAAATGTGTTTTATTAGCATCCTGCTTTCTAGTTTACAAAGTCATTCACTGTAAAACATCCATACTGTCACATATCACAAAAATTGCAAAATGAGATTACGAGCAAGTATAAAACTCAAGAAGGTTTAAGCATTGGATAAATCTCTCATGCAGTTCAGCTGATGAAAGAAAGTAATAACCAGGCACGCAAGAAGTTGTAGGTGTTTTGAGTTACCCTAAGGATGAAAATGAGTGATTGTGAGCTTTTAATAAAGACATCTATAATCATAAAACAGCATTCATGAAATAAATAGCAATCTTTAAATGCCACATGGCCAGAAAC